TAATGGGAGGCAACCCATTGAGGTACTTTTTCTTTTAGTTTTCTTTTCCTTTTTATAATTTATACTTTCTTTTTCTTTTTAAGTTTTAGGTATTTTATAAAACAAAAACACACAAAAAAAAAAAATCAGAAAACTAAGAAAACCAAGAAGAAAAAGGTAGGTTTTTAGCTGCTCGGCCCGACAAAGACGAGAAGCTTGGACAAACGCCGCAGGAGGAAGAGCCGCGGTCGCGACTGACCGACCCACGACCAAGGGAGCATCGACCGCGGCACCGTGAATGTGACCGCGGCCGAGCACTCGACCACCGCGGTCGCGCGTCTCCTGACCGCGGCCGTTGGTCGTTGAGGTGATTCCGCGGATTTCTGCTGCTTTTCGGTGTTGCCTGGTGTTTGCCTGGTGATTCCCGGTGTTGCCTGGTGTTTGCCTGGTGATTCCCGGTGTTGCCTGGTGTTTTCCCGGTGTTGCCTGGTGTTTGCCTAGTGATTCCCGGTGTTGCCTGGTGTTTACCTGGTGTTACCTGGTGATTCCCGGTGATTCCCGGTGCTTCCCAAATTGTTCCCGGTAAAACCCGAAAAGATCCTCCGTAAGTTTTAAAATTTCCTAATGTGCAAACAAGAAAGGTAAGTTCCCGTAAACTTAAAAATTTCCAGAAATTTTCCGTTTTTGTTTCAAAAACCCTTTTTAAAGAAAAGAAACAAACATTTTGGATTAAAACTCCTTCTTCTCTTCTCTTCCAAAAGATTTGGAGATTTAGGAGATATAACACATTTTTCAATTCTTAAGCTTTTAAAAAGATTTTTGGCTCAAACCTCACTCTTTTTCAAAGCTGATTCCAATTCTGCAATCAAATCTCTGTTTCCAGCAAGGTATGAACCTCAAACTCGCCATTTTTAATTGATTTCAGAACTTAGGGTTTTCTTAAAAAGCCCAAATCTTTGTTTATTGATGGTGGAAATAGCTTCAGAATGATAGATTATCCATTTAGGTTATCTAAAAATCGATTTTAGCACCTAGCTTAAGAGGAATTGAGATTTTTGAAATTTGGATTCTACATGCTTCATAAAAATCTAATTTGGAACAGCAAAATTGATGAGTTTGATTAAGCCTTGTGTGATTAGTGATTAGTATTGGGTAATCTTTAGAATTTACATGGAAATTGCTCATAAAAACCGATTTTTAGAAGATTTCTATGTTCAGAACATCAAAAATCCGAATCTGGTCATGAACTACTTGATTTCTCTGATTTAATATCGTTTTTGTTTGCTCATGGTTTTAATTAATCTCTTTATGCTAGTATTAGTATAACAAATCTTAATGTGTTAAAATCAGCATCCATATTCACTCTTTTTCCAAGAACCATTTCGTTTTGCAGAAAAATGGACCAAAACAGATCCCGAAGGAGCCGTCGCACTGGTGGCAGCTCCGAGGACATTCCCGATGATGCTACTCTAGGAGAGTACATGCTGAACCAAGCCAGACCGAGAAGGAGAAACTATGTGATGAGATTGCTCCAGCACTCAAGAGAAACACGAGCAGCTCCCGAGCCACCACAGATTCGATACATTGGGAGGGAGACAAACCCGAGAGTGGACTATGCAAGACGTTTCAAGAAGCTGAACATCAAACCCACGCCTTGCATAGATTATCATACACTCGAGATGCTTAGAATCAGAGAGGATGTGATCTGGTACATCGATGCACTTAAACTCATTCTGATCTGGAGCGCAGAGTTGAGAGACAGGGACGACGCTATGAGCGCGTTGTCACCTTCCTACAGGAGCAGCACCAGTTCGCAAACGACACATCGGAGGATGAGTGATTGATCAGCACTTCACTACCATCACGGTTCTATCATCATTTTCTTTTCTTTTATCTTATTTTATTTCGCTTTTATTCACCATCTTCTCACCAACTTTTTCACACTGGGGACAGTGTGATTTAAGTCTGGGCGAGGATGTCTATCCGTACTAATCATTTTCTTGCTTTTGTTTTTAAATTCCAAGTACTTTTTAAATTTTAATATGTAACCTATTCGACATTAAGTATTTTTCAGGAATGTTTGACGCAAAACTATGATGATTTAGACCTGCACGCTTCTACACTATGCATGATAGCTCATTTGTGGTTAGCACTAGACTAGGCGGTAGCTAGAGTACTTGCACTACGAACTCCCACCAGAGGACTTCTATTCATGGAGATTCTTTCTGACAGGATATACTAGCTCATTTTATTTGGACTTAATATTGATATCTAATTTTCTCATCATTGATTTTAGGCAGGCATCGACATACACATCTAGGACGTCTTTTACCCTCACTTTTACCACTCTTTGTCGTCCTAGATGACCAGTTTATCTTTATCTGGTACCATACCCTAAACCCGAAACCCTTGTTTTCAATCCTCATGCATTCTCTCTTTAGTTTATATCAGCAGATATGTGTAAAAAGTCGGAGAGAAGAGGAGCGACGCAGTTTTCAGTCACTCACAAAGAAGACTGAATGGAATTGGGAAGGCAGAGTATCAGAAACATCATGAAGGTTTACAAGACAGATATTGACTGGTAATTTCGTGCTCTCTAAGACTCTATCTAAAGGTGTTCCCTTTCTTTAAAAAAAAAAAAAAAAAAACGTGAAAAGACAACAAAAAGCCTAATGAGTCTTAGATTGTCAAAATTTGTAGAGCAATAAGCAACCACTATTCGTTTAAGGAGCTATGATTTTGAAAGATTTACAAAAATCTAAGTCTGGGGGAGTTAGGAGAGAGCCTGAGGAAGAAGACCAGGAATCTATGGCAAGAAGAAAGTGACTGAAAACTGTGGATACCAACAGCTTAACTCTCTCTTGCGGTTTTGCATAATATCCTGCATCCTCCAGATTTTCAGGTAACCCGTAAACACTTTAAGCCTTACCCCTAGAATAACCTTTTTAACACCTAGCCTAGATTGCCTTGCCTAGACTTTCTTTGATGAGAACCACAGAGATTTTTAATGAATGTTAAGAGCTAGTTGACTGGAAGTTAGATCCTAGTGCATAGATTTTCGCATGACGGATTAACGGACTAGTTATGCCTGTATTGCTAGTGAGAATTTTCTAGGCTATTCCCGATTGATGCATACTGATTGATATTGGTCTAGAAGTTTGGTCTCTAAGATTGCGTTTTCAAACCTCTCACCGAGATTTAGCCTTTGTTTTGTTTGAGGACAAACAAAAGACTAAGTCTGGGGGAGTTGATAACACCAGATTTTGACCATTTTTTATGGATCACTTTAATATCTTTTACAGGTGTTTTTACTCCATTTTCAAAGGTTTTCAAAGGATTTCTATGTTTCCGGATTTTAAAAGACTTTTCAGGTAATTTGGGATAAAGAGGCACAAAATGGAACAAAAAGACTCTTTTGAATAAATGCAGACCTTCAGAACTCTCATGGAGAGACGAAGACCTTCTCACCGTCTGATCACCCTCAAAATTGGACAATTTATAGAAGAATCAACCAGCTTTCAAATGCACTTGGTTTGGAGACATTCCAACGGTTGGATCTCAAGATATTCCATTAGCCCCGGAGCCACTCGAAGTTGGCCAGCAAGTCACGCGACCACGGTGATCAACCTATTTCCCGCGGTCAGAAGCTTCCCGACCGCGGCCAACCAGCCAATCCCCGCCGTCACAACACTCCCGACCGCGGCAATCAATCTCCGAATTAAAGCCCATGTATCTGAAGCCCAAAGTCATTCTCAGCCTCAATTCCGGAACCCTAGAGACCATGGAGTATTGGAGACTATAAATACATGTCATTTAGGTCGTTTTTAGAGAGAGCAATACACACTTTACAGAAACCTTTTTCCTTTAGCCGTTTTTATGAGATTTTTGTAGAAGATTGTTCAAGTCCGAGTTCTTCAATAGAGAAGCTTTCTTTATCTCTTTTCTTTACTGTTTTTCATTACTTTCATTAAAACCAATGATGATGTCGAACTCAGCCATGTCTGAGTAGATCCCGAGTTGGTCTTAGGGTTCCCGAAAGGGGCTCTCATAATCGATTAAGACATCTAGGTTTATAGATCTGGGATTTCGACATGTTCTCTGTTTATTCTTGTTCTTATTGCATGTATGCTTGATTGATCACCTAGTATCTGATCTAGATAGTTAGTGTTGCGAAAGTTTTCATTAAGTATCAGCCCTAGAATGAAACAGGCGATTTTTTTCGTAGGAGTGGAAACCTACCTGCGGCGAGATCGTGAATATTGACGAGTCTTGTGCAGCTCTTGCGTTCTCTCCCTTCCAGGGCCAGAGTGGAAACCTACTGGTCAGGGTTGCGAGAAACAGTTGGTTATGATCACGAGAGTGACGTAGTCATACCGCCGTACTCTAGCTCTAGAACCCATATATCGATATCCGTCAATCCCAATCTATTTACCCTAGTGTTAAAACCGATTATGATCCCTTAGAGTTCCCAAAAGCTCAGCGTTTTTAGCCATAGTTTACAATTCCATCGATTTTTATTTGCTTATTTAGGCATGCATTTCGATTTCCTTAGTTCGTTATTTACTTGCTTTACTAGTATTTCATTCGATATTTTACTTGCTTTATTAGTCTTTCATTCGATATTTTACTTGCTCTATTTGCCTTTCATTCGATTTCTTTACTTGCTTTTTAGGATAGATCTATTTGCTTTCTTTTGTTTTAGTTTAATTCGTAAAAAACAACCAACCTTTAAAAACCAATCTAGTCTAGACATAAAGTTAAAAACCGTAAAAGAATACCAGACACACAAATCTCTGTGGATTCGATCCTTAAATACTACAACTGATTAGCTGTGCATTTGCGGCTTTCATTTGTTTTGTTAAGAGTAAAACTTGTTCCCTCACGCAGTTGGCACAATCACTTATGCTGTTTAAGCATAATGCTTTACTATTAGTATACCAATTAAGGCTTGTAAAAGGAGTTAATGGCGATATTACATTTTTCTTTAGTGATTGTGGGATTCGTTTGGCACAGTTAATAAGTTTTTTTTTGTAAAATACATGGAAAAGCGTATCAAAAATGTTGATATTGTTATAAGTGGCTGATAAAGATTGCCGTGAACAAGACATTCTAAAGAATATGTTCACACATTTTTGGTTAAATGAACTTCGCAACAATATTACATCCTTGTTTTTTGACATTTCAATTGTTCTCTGCCTTTGCAACAATGAGTTTATTTTGTTCTCAGCGTTATTTGTGAATTCCTACAGCTGCGGGAAGTAACGACAAGTGCAGCGTCATTTGCTCGATCATGCCTCATGAGAGCAAAGAAAGATGCCTGAAAAAGAGAATGAAGCAATTTGTTTAACTACTTGCAATAATCGACTGAAGCAGACCAAAAATGATTGTGCGTTTATGGCAAATGAATTATCTTCTGCGGTATGCTACTTCCTTTGTATTCCCTATGCTGTCACCATTCAAAACATTAACCTAAGTCCTATGTTGTCACCATTCAGAATATAAACCTAATGACGCATCTTCCAAATGGTAACAACATTCTGGAATATGATGGAAGAAGCCGACCAAACAACGCTTGGGTGGTAATTTGTAACAATCTCCGCCAGTTGTACACATCAAACTGGACAAAGATTTCAGCTACTTGAACAAATCTTCAATCGGAACTCTAGAAAGAGAACCCAAGAAAATAGCGATTTTCCTTGTTGTTAGAATTATTTTGCTTACTAAGATTCCCAGAGCCATCCTCCAAAACCGTAGAGACGGATGTCTAGACCATACTAATCTGTCTAGACCATACTGTAACACTTCAACTCATTCCCAAACAGATTTACACATTCCATTTTGCATACAATCAAAATACCAAATTAAAATCTCTCAAAAACATTGGAACAATTTTTTTAACACAACACACAAATTTCTCTGTAATTTATCTAATCTCGAATTACTAGCCTATCCAAACGCTCTCATTACATATATCTGCCTTTATAAACCAGTCAAGAACCAATTTAATATTTTTAAATGCTTATTTTACGTTTTATTAGCATAAGTCAAACTAGAGCTCCTACTGATTATCAATCCATTCCTCTACCGAAAACAATATCTAGTCACTCCAATACAGTGTCTAACAAAGAGGCATATAACAAGGAAAGCAGTATCTGATCTTCCGAGAAATTCAAAATATGGACTATATATATATATATTAATATGACCGATTTCTTCTCATTTGGAGCTCTGATATTTCAGAAGAGATCAAACGTGTTATTCGTTTTATTATGGTAGAATAAAACTAGCTATATACAGATTTATGACACAAAGATTGTACAAGGTATTAATCACTAGTCCAAACCTCTTTACTTTACAAAGGGAATCGGTCTTTGCCGCCGTCACTATCACCGCCATCATCATTATCATCATTCATGTCGAAGAGATCGAAGCCCCCAACATCCCACTTAGCATCTCTGTAATTGAAGCTCGAGCTCACATAATACTTCACCTCATGAAACAAGTTGAGGTTATCCACCAGCTTATGAAACACGTTGCATCCACAACACTGCATTACCAAAGACAAACAATTAATAACAATTCTTCGGGGACCAGATCAGGTTAGATTAGTCCCTTTCCGACCCCGAATATCGAACTCATTATCTTCTCGACTCTACCGTTTGGGGTGGTACGCCAGTTAAGCTACCGAGGTCGGGTAAAATCTATTAACTTTAGTGTCGTTTTCTCGTTACAAAGCAAAATGTTACCTGCACAAAGACGGTGCCGTCAGAGTAAGCATGTGGATTTATGGCTCGTGTAGTTCTCTGGCCACAAACGTTGCAAGTGAAGGCAACACGCATACGCCTACGAGGCGATTTCGTGAATAGTGACCAAGGAAACGTTGAAACCGTCTCCGTATCGGCCTTGGCCGGAAGAGACGGCCCTTCCATCCCGGAACCGGTGGTCCAGCCTCTTACCGAGGCTGCGTTCAATACTAGTCCCATTGCCTCATCCTACAAATTGAAATTTGACGAAATTACCTAAGACTCTGGAAAATAACATATCGAATCCAGAAACAGGAAACGGTAATTCAGATCGAACAAGATCAAGCGAGAGAGATTTACATCCGAGAATGTTCGGTTTTGGAATAGAGGAACGAGGCTCGATGAGTTCAATTCAGATTTCGGATCATAATCTTTGTCGTCCTCTGAATCAAAACAGAGAAGATACAAAATAAGGTTAAGAGACGGTCTTAAACAAAACACGATCGCGAGATGATCGGAAGCAACGAAATAGCAAAGATTACTCTTCGAAAGCCGGACGATTCTCGGAAAAGATGAGTCTGTTCTCTTCTTCGGGGAGAAGATGGAAAGCGGCGATGATGATGAGGAGACGATGGTTGCCGCAGAGCTTAAGGCGGTAGCTTCCATGGTTGATCTTTGAGCTTAACAGAGAAGGAAGTATTGTTTTTCCTTTTCTCTTTTCTTAGAAAATTTCTATCTTCGTTATTATTATTATTAGGATTGAGTCTGCTAGTTTGTGTTTTTATATTTTTTTATATATTATTTTTAAAAAAATATAATATGTTTAGTTATCAATATTAGTGTTTTTATATAACAATAAATTTCTCGACACCCGATCAAGCTTGTCCAGTATGCTCGCTGGTAACATATTATGCTCATCAAGCATTAATGACAAATGTGGAGAGATATAGACGACATTTGTGTGATACAAGCTTGTGTCAAGTGTGTAAAGGGGGTGATGAGTCCATTCTCCATGTGTTGCGAGACTGCCCGGCAATGGTGGGAGTATGGAATCGTTTAGTTCCTCATCGCAAGAGACGAGCGTTCACTACAAGAAAACAGTTAATTAACGACTACGGTTTGCAACTGATAATGTAGTCGCTAAATTTTGTGACTACTTAATGACTGATTAACGACGACCCTACGACTGCGGAAAATCAGTCGTCAAAATGTCGCTAAATAGTGATTGCGAATGTCGTCACTTCTTAGTCGCTATCTAACGACGGATTAGCGACTAATATGTAGTCACGATTAATCAGTCGCAAAAACGTCGATAAAGTTGCGACTAATTTGCGACATATGCGGCGAGTCGGTATTATTTAACACGTGTAATACGTTTTAGGGTGGTTGTACCGGTTTTTCGCGACGAACCGTTGGCAGTCGCAATATAGTGACAAAACAGTCACATATTAGTCACAAAATTTTCTATATATTGAGATCCCATCTACGTTCTACTTCATTAGTATGCTTGCTATCATTTTGGTAGTTACTTTATAAAATTCCTTTAGCTGTAAGAAATATTTCTTACAAAAAAGGTGAAAAAAGAGTTAAGAAAAAAAAACTCTTAAATAGAAAGAGAGTTATAATTTTAATTTCCAAAATGTCTGGAAATTATAATTATAATAATTTTAGAGCTTGGATGTATAACCGAATCGATGAAAAGACGGGTAATTTTTCGGATGCGTTTACAGAAGGAGTGAAGCAATTCATGAATTTTACAAATAATCAGACTATAACACAAAGCAATTGTGGTAAATTTTTCTGCCCTTGTAGTGTATGCAAAAACAACAAGTTTTTGTTGGGGAGTAAGATTTGGAATCATCTATACAGTAAAGGGTTCATGCCAGATTATTATGTTTGGTATAAGCATGGGGAAGAAATAACTATGGATTATGGAGCTAGTTATAATAATAGTCATCTAAGTGGGAGTGAAGAAAAAATGGATAATATAGCTGAAGATAGATATGTGGATATGGTGAATGATGCATTTTGTGATAATTTTCGTCAAGATGATAGCTATTGTCTAGATGAGAGTAATGAAAATGTAGAAGAACCATTATACGATGGTTGTCATGAAGGGCATTCACAGTTATCTTTAGTTGCTCGGTTCATGCAAAATAAGGCAGATTATAATATGAGTGAAAAATGTATGGATTCATGGGCCGCATTGTTTACTGAGTATTTACCAGATGGAAATCAAGCAATCAGTTCTCATTACGAGACAGAGAAATTGATGGGAAACCTAGGCCTTCCTTTTCATAAAATTGATGTTTGTATCAACAATTGTATGATCTTCTGGAAAGAGGACGAACATTGGGAGAACTGTAAATTTTGTCAAGCACCAAGATATAAGCAAGTCAAGGAAGGACGGCGATCAAGAACCAGAATACCATATAGTCGTATGTGGTATCTACCTATAGCTGATAGATTAAAGAGAATGTATCAGAGCGAGAAGACAGCAGCGGCTATGAGATGGCATGCTGAACACCAAGCCAAGGATGGAGAAATGTCACATCCCTCTGATGCTGCTGAGTGGAAATATTTTCAAGATCTACATCCTCAGTTTGCTTGAGAACCCCGAAATGTTTATCTTGGATTATGTACAGATGGGTTTAATCCATTTGGCATGTCTCGTAATCATTCTTTATGGCCTGTGATTTTGACCCCATATAATTTACCTCCTGGTATGTGCATGAAGACAGAGTATTTGTTCCTGACGATATTGAATTCAGGGCCAAATCATCCACGAGCCAGTCTTGATATATTCCTCCGACCTCTTATTGATGAGTTAAAAGATCTATGGTCTACTGGAGTGAATGCATATGATGTGTCCCTGAAACAAAACTTTAATTTAAAAGTTGTGCTGCTGTGGACGATAAGTGACTTTCCAGCATACGGTATGTTATCAGGATGGACTACTCATGGTAAATTATCTTGTCCAATTTGCATGGAAGATACAAAGGCTTTTTATCTCCCTAATGGAAGGAAGACATGTTGGTTTGATTGTCACAGAAGGTTTCTTCCACAAGATCATCCATTAAGAAAAAATAAAAAAGACTTTTTGAAGGGTAAAGGCATGAGTGACTACCCACCAGAGTCTTTGACTGCTGAGCAAATCTATTCTGAGCGGATAGAATCTGTGAATCCTGGTAGAACATTTGAGTGCGGTGGAAATGGTCATGAAAAAAAGAAGGCTGGATATGGTAAGTGGCACAACTGGCACAAAGAAAGTATTTTCTGGGAGTTGCCGTACTGGAGGGACCTTAATCTCCGGCATAATCTTGATGTGATGCATATAGAAAAGAATTTTTTTGACAACATCATGAATACTCTTATGAGTGTGGGGGGTAAATCAAAAGACACAATCAAGTCAAGATTGGATATACAACGATTCTGTGATCGGGCACACTTACATGTTAATGGTAATGGTGCAGCTCCTTTTCCTGTATACACATTGCAAGAAGCTGACAAAAGAAGATTACTAGAATGTGTGAAAGCGGTACAATTCCCAGACGGTTATGCATCTGATCTAGCTAGTTGTGTTGATATAGAGAAGGGAAAACTTTCTGGTATGAAGAGTCATGACTGCCATGTTTTTATGGAGCGGTTACTTCCGTTTATCTTTGCAGAACTCCTAGATCGGAACGTTCACCTTGCATTATCAGGTACGAACCTATTCTTTTGCGCAACTATATCTCTACAATATGATTACTATGTAAACAAACTAACTAATTTATTTGAAATATTGTAGGGATTGGATGTTTTTTTCGTGACTTATGTTCTAGAACTTTGCAAAAAAATCGCGTCCAAATTATGAAACGAAACATAGTACTAATCCTATGCAACTTGGAAAAAATCTTTCCACCATCATTTTTTGATGTAATGGAGCATCTGCCTATACATCTGCCATACGAAGCTGAACTTGGAGGGCCTGTACAGTATAGGTGGATGTATCCTTTTGAAAAGTTTTTCAAGAAGTTGAAAGCAAAAGCAAAGAACAAACGATATGCGTCAGGATCGATTGTTGAATCATATATCAATGACGAGATCGCTTATTTTACAGAGCATTATTTTGCCACACATATACAAACAAAATCAAGGTTATGTCCTCATTATATTCATAAATAATTATAGGGTTAGAAGATAACAAATTCTACTAATAAAACTTTTGTCTTGTTTGTTCAGGCTAACAAGATTCAATGAAGGTGAAGTCCCAATCTTTACCGTCCCTGGAGTTCCTGATATATTTACTCATATAGGTCGTCCTAGTGGGCAAATGCACGATATATGGCTTTCAGAAGAAGACCATCAAATTGCACATGCATATGTTTTGCGAAATTGCAAATATTTTCAGCCATTTGAGAGGTATATAGAATTAACATTATTAGATTCAACCTGTTTACTAGATTCCACATGAGTTCTCATATAAACATGTATGTGTCTGTCTTGTACAGAATGTTTGAAGATTATATATGTGCAAAATTTCCAGATCTTTCCACAAAAGATCTCGCTGCAAAACGAGCCGCCGAATATCCAGCATGGGTGAAAGATTATGTATGCTTAACTCTAATTCATATACATATAGCAATATATATATGTATATTGCATACTATCTAATTTAAAAGCGATAACATTCATGTATATGTATGCAGGTAACTTACTGGAACACCACGAATTCTTTTCCAATTTGGGTTCAAGATATAATTCATGGGCCAGTGAATAAGGCTAAAACGTGGCCCATCTACTTCACTAGGGGATATTTGTTTCATACGCAGAAGCATGGTGTGGGCCAAAAAACCTGTAACTATGGGATATGTGTGAAAGGAGAAAATTATACGGATGCATCTGATGAAGCCGATTTCTATGGAATCTTAACTGATATCATACAACTCGAGTACGAGGGAATGGTAAATTTGAAAATCACACTTTTTAAATGTAATTGGTATGACCCTGTTATTGGTAGAGGCACACGAAGAAACAATGGTGGCGTCACTGACGTTAATTCATCAAGAAGATACAATATGTACGAACCATTTATCCTAGGTATGTTGATACATATATATATATATATACTTAAAATATATATGTTTTTTTGTTGAAAGAATCTTTTTATTTTGCTGATCTTCCACAGCTTCTCAAGCTGACCAAGTTTGTTATATTCCCTATCCATACCGAAAGAAACCAAAGCAATTGTGGTTGAACGTGGTAAAAGTAAATCCAAGAGGAAACATTAATGGAGATTTTGAAGAGAAAGAACCAACTCTTTTACAACAAGTAAATGATGATGCTATAATGCTGACTACAATTGAGGATCTTGTGGTCGATAATCGAGTACTCGGAGTAAACTCCATAAATCTTGATTTTGATGTTGAAGATGCAGAACCAGCTGATGAATTTCAGTGTAACTTATCATCCTCAGATGATGATGAAGATGAAGATGAACCTTACTAATTATTTTGTTTAAACTAGTTGATAATATGATGAAGATTAAGATGAACATTACCAATTTCATTTTTTAAAAAATTGTTTAAATCATTTGATATTAGTTGATATATCAATTTAACTAAATCAAAATTAAACCAGATTAAGATTAATCTTAAAACCAAATTAAACCATAAAACTAAACCATATCAAACTAGATTAAAATTTGGTTAACCCATAAACCTAATTAAACCATACTTAACCAAAATTAACCCACTAACCCTAAATTAACCCGAAGCCC